TTAACATTTTCATTTATTTGTTAGTAAAAGTGTATTAAATTTTCATTAGTGTCCCTTAAAGGATCAAACTTAACCACAATTTATTAATAATTTAAACGTTTTTAATGATAATTTATGCTTCGGTATATCAATGCTTTTATGCAACTTACAGTATCCCATTTGGCATTCATACGTTCCTTTTCGAAACGTGCAAATTCTCGCCTGTCATGTATCGTCGTCAACAATTTCCACAATAACAATATAGCCAAGCCAACTAAAACAATGGCGGCTATAACACCTAATACTATGCCTAACATGAATACTTTTGGTGGACATTCACGTTCTTGTTGCGCATAAATTTTAATTTCATTATTAATTTCAGTGTATTTGAATGAAAATTTGCAATCGTCTTCATCGAAGAACCAACATTGGTATTCTTTTTCTGGATCATCTATGATGACCTTCTCAACTCCAATAGGATTTATGTTAATGCAATTATCTGCACAATCCTTTGGATCTTTCAAAGGACCAGTTTTATACATTTGACATTGGACACAGTCTTTAAGCTCTTGACAACGTCTAGAACATGTGGGACATTTTTCACAGTAATCGCCAGAATAACGACCTTCTTCAGTAGTTTTGCATCTGAAATGAAATGAAAAAAGTAATAATATAGTACATATACGAAATAAAGTGAGTGTTGTTATTCATATGTAAATAAACAAATTCCCAGTTACTGATTAACTTACTTGCATACACCACATTCACATTCACCGTGTCCGGAACAAATTTCACCGCCATTTGGTGGTATGCATGTGTGATTGGAAGCTTGACAATCACAAGCTGCACCAGTCCAACCAGGTTTACATTCACAAACATTACATGCGCATATACCATGATCGGGACCAGAGCATAACTGTTGCTTATGACGTTCACACGAGAAGTTATCACACTCACAGAAGTCGCCTGTTATTTTTTCTTCGGGATTATCACGTTGCTCGCAGTGGCAGATACCACACAAACACATACCACGTCCATTACAATCCTGTGTACTATTACCAGCGCGACAACCGATATCACTTTCTTTATGAGAATGCGCGTCTGTCACAGAACATTCACAATTCCGACCAACGTACGATTCATCGCACTCACAGATGCCGCACATGTACGTGCCATGACCATTACAATATGCTGAATTAGTTTCATATCCAATCGAACCAGGTTTCTCACAAGGACACGAACATAACAATTCCAAATCGATAATCAAACTTTCATTCAAACCGACTGGATAAATTTGTATTGTTTGTTTCCAGTCACGTGGATCGGCTGGGCATGATGTTACCGAAATCTGTGCGGTGAAATAAACCAACTGACCAACTTTAATATCATCACATTTTGCTGTAGGAACTGCAGTGCCATTATTTAGGCACGCAGAATGATATGTAATTTTTACATTGCTAGTGGCGTTATCTTTCATTTCAATAGACGAAGAGATTTTCTATTTTAAAAAAATACGGAAAAAATTAATCAAAATAAATTTACAATATTTACTTTTTCATTTTACTTACACTGTACTCCTTACGCACTAAGGTAACCACATTAGAGGAATCCTCTGAGAGTATAGCACTTGTAGAACCTTCGATATGTTTTGACAATTTGGAATACACAGAATGTTGGTTTGCAGTTACGGCAAATATTACGTTAATAGCGTTTTGTTTAACTTTGTGATTGATTTGAGATATACTGGGATAGTCTTGTATTACGGAATGCGTGTACAATCCATCGCGATCCAAATGGCATTCACCATCGTTAGGCGCAATAACACCACCGAGCTATATAAAATAAATAAAAGTAAATATAAAATAATTACGTTGAAAACTTTTTACAAAAATTGCAGGAACTTACTTTGCCATCACCGGCATAATGAAATCCTGCATCTGTTGAGAAGACCAATAGGCGTCGAGCTTTCTCGCGCCAGCCTATTTGCTGACGACAAGCGATAGCCTGCATAATAGCATCGAAACCACCTTCCGGTGCATCCAGATTACCAGATACAGCAGCATTTTTGACTTCAGACTATTGTTGTTATAAAATTTTAATAATATATAAATTTTTAAAATTCATTATTAATTCATTGTGATTTTTGATATTATTTTAATTATTTATACTTTTTAGTTTTTGATACACTCTTGAATATAGAAAATTTAGCAAAAGAATTCATTCTTAAAATCTAGTTTTATTAGTGTTCTGAAATTAAGAATTGCATAAATTTCGAATAGAAATTTATAATTTATATATAAAAATAATTTAATTTATTGGTTGACTTAGATGCTTCACTCAAATACTCTAAAAACTTTAAGACATTTGTAAAAAAAGAATTGAAGTTGTTACGTCCAAAGAGTGACAGTCCTTCAGGATGTCGATGGTATTAGCCATTTCGATGGGCTTCACATCTAGAAATCGAAGGATGAAAGCATAATATTGATGACACCTCAGCATCATAACAGCTCAACTCAATAGATTTTAAAATATTTTAGAGTAAATTTTCTTTTATATTTATATATGAAAAAGAAATTTGCCATTGCGAATAAGGTTAAGGTTTTTTAAAGTAGATATGTCGTATTTGTCTATTGTAATCAAAATCGAATCAAAGGGATAAATAGAAGGATTTGTCTATCGTATTTGTCTATTCTCTAATCAAAAGTAATCCAATCAATAACAGAGGGATAAATAGCAAGATTTTAAGGGATAGGGATTATGATATAGGGAGAAAAAAAAGTAGAACAGGTAAAAGGAGATATCAAGAAAAGCAGGAATAATGCATACAGAGAAAAAAAACTCAGACAAGGAAAAGAAGAGACATAGGCAGAACACTAGAGTATGTGTATTATAAAAAAAGTAGGAAAAAAAATATATTTCTGCTATATTTAGGTTAGGTTTTACCAGCGATCCAAAGGTCCACTTAAGATGAATAAAAAACTTAATAGCTTACAAACCATCTTGAACCTTGTACAATGTCTAAAATGCTATTTAGAGAGAAATACTGGAGCTGGTCAAGATCTTCAAAAAAGAAATGGTATCTTTTGAAATCTTTTAGAAGGAAATAACTTCCAAAAATAATTAATTGATGCAGCGTATGCGCTGGACAGTAAGAAAGTGGATATGAGGCATTTTTTTTGCTCTCTCCACAACTACGACAGGATTGATTAAACAGGAGATATAGTCATCTATCATGATTCCCTTTATATTTGGTTTTATAGAACCAAAAATCATTATAATAGCATTTTCTGAAGTTTAATAAAAAAACTTGTCAATGCAAAGCGTAAAAAGAGTAGCGTACTTCAAAGTTAAATTCTGCAGAACCAGCGGAATTTGAGCAATCAAAAAAGTAAATATTTATTATTGTAGTCTCACTTTAAATAATATTAGATTCTTAACATTATTATTATATATATTTAAAGTTTAATTGCATTTCAGGTGATCAAAACTAATAATTCAGCAAAAATTATTAGATTAACGCTAAAAGTTTGGTTACTGAAATGCACTATCAATATTGATAATATTGATAAATTAAATGATAAGATAAAAAATAAATAAACAAAAGTAAAAAAATCTAACATAATTTTAAGTATTATTCAAGAGTGTATCTTAATTATTATAACAAAAAAAAAATAAAAAAAGCATTAATTGTCATATGAAATTCCACAAAAATAGATAAAAATTAAATGAGACATGTTAGCGCATGGCTGAGTTTGTTAGTATGAACTGAAACCATTTAAAAGCAGATTAGTTATGTTTTCTATGCCACGTTTCAAGCTGTCCCATGCAATTTTAAATAAGATTAACATCAATCCTCATGCATAAAAACTACTCCAAACTTAATATAAATAAAACCATTAAAATGCTTTTAATGTAAAAATTATGTTAAACTACGTTCGATTTCATTCAATCGATTACTACGACGACAACTTACAGAAAATCGATATGTATCCGTGCTTAAAGCCATTACATTACGATAGCCGTAAGGTGCTGCACAGCCCGTACACGGCTCTTCCAGACTATTATTGATCGATGCGATCGATATATAGTTTCATGTAGTACGACATGAGTAAATGTTTACAAAATGCAATATGCACATATATATGTGTATAGTATTTATGTAAAAATGTTTGTAATAGAAAATGGAGAAAGTAGAGATAAAAAAGAGAACAAGAAAATAAATGTTGTAATATGTAAGTTAATGCCAAATTTAAAAAAATTTAATTTGGAATATATATATATATTTTAAATAGTTCATTAATAAATAAATTTTAAATTTTGATAATGAAAGTTATGAAATTAGTCAGTTTTTTTTTTATTAAAAAAATTTTTTTTTTTTTTTTCAAAATGAACTAATTTCATTTTTTGATGGTAATATTTTGAATTTTCTGCTTACACATAACACATATGATATGCCGATATTATATAGTATATAGCTTACAGACTAAAGTACGAGTACATATGACTTACACATAATTTATTAATGAATTACAACAAATAAATAGGTGCAATATAATATATAATTACTGTGCTTTAGAATTATGTATATATGTATACACCAATCCTCATCATTCTATGCATTAATGTATATGCCCATATAACTTAGAGATATAATTAAAACTTACTTAAAATCCAAAAAAAAAAAAAAATAGTGATTATAATCAATCATATTAAAAACTACACATTTAATTCATGCCACAACATGCAATTTTTATGAAACATAAAAAAAGTAAATAAAAATCAAATAAAAATAAAATAAAATGAAAAAAAATTTAATTCCAAATTTTTATTTTTTAATTAATCAGATTTTTTGATTCTTCTGGTATTATAGAATAATACAAATAAATGTTTTTCGAATTTTTTTAATTATTTTATGATCAAAATTATTTTTTAATAATTATTATATTCGTATTGGTGTCGACCTCAATATTTATGTTTGAAATTTTTGCCGGGCTTTAGGTCGTGGTTTTTAATTTTAAATTTTTATATAATAACTTGTATTTTATATAAAATAAATAAAAACAAACTTTGAATTAAATAAAATATCACAAAGATTAATTTATGTAATAAATTATTTTATTAACAAATATTTCGACCATCTTCAGTCTGTTTTTATTTATTTTATATAAAATACAAGTTATTATATAAAAATTTAAA